TACTAGTAGTAGGAGTAGTAGTAGTAGGAGGAGGAGCAGGAGCAGGAGGAGGAGGAGGAGGAGGTTGAAAAGGAGGAGGAGGAGGAGGAGGAGGGGGAGGGGGAGGGGGAGGAGGGAGGCGGGAGGGGGATAAATAGGCGGATGAAGAGGGTTTGAGGATTTCCGCCATCACGTAGTGATATGCAAGCTTGTGGGCTCAGCTTGGGGTGCAGACCACGAGTGAGCCTGTCAAGGTACTCGCGTCTGGCCTTGGTGATCAATTGTGGGCGGCATGGGAGTCCTAAGCCCCTGAGCTGGGCCCGGCCGACATATCCGCATTTGCCGCAACACCACACACCAAGGACTTGGTGATACCGCAATGCGTAGGAGGGTGCGTCCAACCGCCAGCCAAGTATGAACGCCGCCCAGGGGGAACTCGGGAGACCTTTCCGTCGATGGGCAGAAGATGGAAGCATTCACTTTGTAACCATTCGCACTCCTTGTCTTTGGACACTGAACCACGGCACACTGTACACGACCTGCCATTCTCGGCCAGGGAGTGGGCGGACGCGAAGCGTGCGACAGCAGTGGGAGGGGGAGGAGGCGGGCGGCGGGAGCCAGAACCGATCGGGCCGATTCCAGCTTCCTGTGAGGTTCTGATCGACTCGAGGCCAACTCTGAGCAGGCGCCTGCGCACCAGGCGCGCCTTGCGTTCAACCTGCAGCACACGATGCCTCTCCTCCTGCGAAACTCTCGCGCGGGCGGCCGCCTTTCCTGCCAACATGTCGATGCATGCATTCCCCTTTACGAGCCAGGGCGGCCAACCCTGCGACCCTACTTCTTCGCCCGTCATGTGTGAGGGGACTTGAAGGATGGCGATAGAGGCTTCCCGCCTGCAGGTGACATGCTGATTGATCTCACGCCAGAGGTCAGCCTGGGGTCCAGCGGGGCGCGCGAAAGCGCGATCATACCACCCTCTAGCGACCTCGGCGCAGCCCGTGATAAAAACAACTGGTCCTGTCGTGAAGCGAAAAGCCCAGACGAACGCCAGGAGCCCCCCTCGCGGGACGGTCTGCGAGGGGCCTGGCAGAGGGCCCAGCACGTGCGCTCCGAGACTGCACGGGGAGAACCCAGTGAAAGCTGCCACCGCAAGCCCCACGCCCCTAAGCCTACAGTCGTGAGTGTTCTTGCCTCCAAAAGCATCTCCCAAAAATGAGGACGGGGAAATCGGGGGTCCCGTGCCCGAGGCACCCACCGCCAACCACACCACCTTCCAGAGAGCCTCCAAACATAACTTCAGAGGCCACAGGGGGCTGAACAGAGGTCCGTTGGGCAGGGATGATGCCTCTCATCCAAAAGGCAGGACACGAATCTTGCTCCGCCACTGCCTCTGGCACAAGCTCGTCGGATTGCGCGAAAGCTGGTGACTCGCGATTCTTCAGACATAGCCAGCAGCGGTGGACCGGAGCGCCGACGCCCTCTCCGCATCTCAAGCACAAGTCGCTGCCTGCCAGGCGCGCCTCGCACTTCCTCTGCTGCGTCCCAAACCCCCCCGTGGCAATGGAAACCACCAGCTCTGACAGCTGACGGCCCTTGCGCACGTCCAGGAGCGACTGGATGAAATGCCGAAGACTGAGCAGGTCTGCGCCGTGCTCGAGTCCACTGCCGCAGAACTCCTGAGCGGCCTGCCTCCACGGTTATGCAGAAAGCGTGGCCTCCATCTCGCCAAGGAGCGGCTGCGCCTGGTCCAGACCGACGACAACTCTTCGTGGAAAACCCACGTGTGAGTGTCCGCCGACCCGTCACT